ATCAATAAACATGCTTAATCAAATAAGCAGACAGGTCCCAAATGAGGACGCATCAATGGTTAATAAACATATACAAAATGTTCAGCTTCATTGGCCATCAGAGAATTGTAAATAAAAACTGCATTGAGATTCTATCTCACCCCAGTCAGAATGGCTGTCAGAGAGAAAACAAATGCTGGCCAGGATGTTGGATGAGGGTGGATGCTCCCATCTGGTTTTTGTTGGTGCTGCTATGTTTTACATAAAGGTCTCTGTGGTGGTTTGAATGAGACATGGCCCTCCTAGGCTCAAGTATTTGAATACTTGATCCCCAGTTGGAGGTGCTGTTTGGGGAGGTCACAGAACCTTTAGGAGGTGCAGCCTTGCTGGAGGTAGTGTGTCACTGGAGGGGGGCTTTGAGAGTTCATAGCCTCACCCTACTTTCTAGTTCACTCTCTGCTTTGTTTGTGGTTGAAGATGTGATCTCAGTTTCCTGCTCCTGTCACTCTGTCTACCACTATCTTCCACCCCTCCCCACCATGATGAATTCTCTGTCCCTCTGGATGCATGAGCCAAAATAAACTCTTCAATAAGTTACCTTTAGTCATAATATATGATCACAGCATCAGAAAAGTAACTGATCCATATGCTTTGACATTTGAACATGTGTTCAGGAGAGCTGTCAGTGTGACTTGGTCCAGGCTTACCTCATGACCCCCACCACCACCCTTATTCTTTTAAATGCTGCATTGGTAGGCTTGCCTTATCCCCCACCCCTACCCCCAGCCTCATTCTTTTAAATGCTGCATAGTGTTTAACGGTTGTTCCATAGGAAAGGAAATTGTGCTCTTATTGACAAGTGTTTAGGCTGCTTCTAATTGTTTTGTGTTTATTCACCACGGATCTCCCAGCGTCCTCAGACACACTCCTCGTATATTTGTGCGAACTTTGCTTTAGGATAGACCATGAAGTGTGTGGTACAACAGTCCTCCTTTCTCCACAGTATTGTAGTTTCATTTCTGTTGCTGTGATAAAATACCCTGATAAAAAGCAACTTGGGGAGAAAAGGTTACAGTCCACCAGAATTCCAGGTTACAATCCATCATTGTGCAGAAGCCAAGGAAACTCAAAGCAGGTAGTGACAATACTCTCACTGTCAAAAGCAGAGAGAAAGGAACTCACGCATGCTCAGTCCTCAGTTAGCTCTAATACAATCTAATACAGTCCAAAACCTTAAATCAGAGAATGGCTCCACCCACTTTCAGCCCGCATCTTCTCTCATGAATTACAGCAGTCAAGACAATCTCCTGTAGCCCAACCTCACCCAGACAATCCCTCACTGAGAATTACTTCTCAGATGATTCTAGGTTTGGTCAAGTTGAAAATTAAAACAAACCAAAATAAATCTACCCTTTGTCAACTTGACACAAAACAGATCACTTTAAGCTGTAACCTTCTGTCCCTTGTCCTCAAGGTCTTGTGTTTATCACATAATGTGAGATATAGTCCAACTTTAAAAGGTCCTCAAGTCTTTAAAAGTTTCAACACTTTATCATTTTATTTTATGTGTGAGTGCCTGCATGTATGTATGTGTACCATGTGCATGTCTGTTGTCGGCAGAGGCCAGAAGAGGGCTCTGGATTCCCTGGAACTGGAATTACAGATGGTTGTGAGCTGCCATGTGTGTGCTGGGAGCCAAACCCCAGTCCTCCTCAATAACAGCAAGCACTTTCAACTGCTGAACCAGCTCTCCAGCTCCAGTTCCAATGCTTTAAAAGCCTAAAGTCTCTTAACTGTAAGCAACTATAAAAGGAAACCAGTTATGTACTTCTAACACATGTGGCACAGAACAAACATTCTTATCCCAAAAGGGAAGAACTGGGGCATAGAAAACGAACCATCCATCACACCAAAGCAAACCCAAAATCCGGCATGGAGAACACCAAATCTTTCAGTTCCATGTCCAGCATCTGGGGCTTAGAACATCATCTTCTGGGCTCCAAAAGAAGCACTTTCCTATGCAGTTGCTTTTGAGGAGCAGGGAACCGATAGCTTAGGATCCTCCAATGGGTGGAGTCTCGCACTCAGGACATCCTTCCTGAGTGTACCACAGGAGGTTTCACTTCAGCAGTGCTGATGTGTCACTTACAGCTGTTCTTCATCACAACTGGAATACCATACTGCCTTGAAATTTCCTCTGGAAAATAAACCAGTCCATCATCTCTCACTACAACTTCACTTGGGTTCTCAGGACATGGCCAGATTCTTGGCCAAAATATCACATGAATGACCCCCTAGCCAAGTTCCTAGTAGAGTCCTTGTTCCCCTCTGAAACCTTGTGAGCTGGATCTCCACTGTCCACAAATCTCTAAGTAGTCTTATCTTCTAAGCTCCAACTAGAACAACCTGTTAAATTCTGTTTTTGGCATTCAGCAGCTTTTCCAGCCCAATGTACCAAATGCTTCCATATTTCCATCACAAAAGCATTCAAGTAACATAAGAACCACATAAGTTAATCACAGCAATAGTGCCAATTGGTAACTTCTCAGTACCAATTTCTGTTATAATTTTGCTTCTGTTGCTCTGATAAAAAATACTTTGACAAAAGGCATCTTAGGAGAGAATGGGTTTATTTTAGCTTGCACGTAATTCCAGGTTATCCTCCATCATTGTGGGGAAGTCAAGGCTACGAGAACTTGAGATAGCTGGTCACGATGTATCCACAGATGAGAGCAGAGAAAAATGAACATGTGCATGCTTAGCACTCAGCTAGGTCTTTCCATTCTTACACAGTTCAGGGCCCCAAACCAGAGAATCATGAGAACTTTCAGGCTGGGTCTTCCCACATCAATTAAGGCAGTTAGTCAGACAATCCTCCACAGACGTACCCACAGGTCAACCTTATCTAGACAATCCTTGCTGAGACTCTTCCCAGGTGATTCTAGATTGTGTCAAGTTCACAATTAAAGCTAACCATCACACAGTTTCACATTCTGTGATTTCAGTTACTTATAGTCAGCTGTGGTCCAAAACTATTACATGGAAAATTCCAGAAATACAGAATTTGTGTGTGTGTGTGTGTGTGTGTGTGTGTGTGTGTGTGTGTGTAGGACCAAAAATATAACATAGAAAAAACAAGAGATACAGAAAGTGTGTGTGTGTGTGTGTGTGTGTGTGTGTGTGTGTGTGTGTGTGTGTAGCTGGAGATTGAACCCAGGGGCTGATGCATGCTAGCGCACGCACTCTACCACTGAGCTACACCCTGGCCCCATAGGTTTTAAACTACATGCTGTTCTGAGATGAAGGAATCTCATGCTATCTTTCTGTCTTTCATCCAGGAATGATGTGAATCCTTTCTTCATTTAATATATCCACAGAACACGTTACCCACCACTAATGATTTTGTAGACATCTCAGCTGTCAGATTGAGTGTGGTGGTATCATAATGTTTCAAGTGACCCTAATTTTGCTTAATAACGGCCCTAAAAAGTAGTGATGCTGGCGATTGTGTTATAGTATATTGTTATAATTATTCTGCTTTTCGGACAGGGTCTTGATATCTAGCCCAGGATGGCCTGAGATTCAACATCTTCCTGTCTTAGTCTCCCAAGTGCTGAATTACAGATGTGTGCCACCACATACGATTTAGTTTGGGGTTTAAAAATCTCTCTCTCTCTCTCTCTCTCTCTCTCTCTCTCTCTCTCTCTGATATGTATGTGCATGCTTGTGTGAGTGTGAGTGTGTGCATGTGGAGGTCAGAGAACAATCTCTGGTTATGGTCTTCACCTTCTGTCTTGTTTGAGACAGGGTCCACTGTGCACACCAGGCTAGCTGGCCCATGAATGTCTCCTGAATCCACCTTCCATCTCAGTGCAAGAGTACTGGACTACAGACTTATGTCACATCCTCTGGCTTTACATGTGTTCTGGGGATCATGCAGGCAGAAGGCAGGGCCTTCTGCCTGCATGACAAGTACTCTATCCCTTTGTTCTTTTTATTAGTCCTGTTAATCTCTGTGTGTGCCTAATTTACAAATTAAACTTTATCTCGGGAATGTATGAGCAGGAAAAGACATATTCTGTAAAGAGTTTGATACACTCCACAATTTCAGGCATTCATCGGGTATCTCAGAATTTGTCTTTCCTGGATCTGGACCAGGCAGGTTAATTCTATAGCCCATGGGCTGCATGTACCCCAAGACAGCTATTGTAAACTTACCTAAAATACTATGAAATTATTTTGTCATTTTTTTGTTTTGGTAACTCTGTTGAGTAGTTCTTCAGAGCAAACTTTGTAGACAGTGACATGTTGTAAGGTCAAAAAGCTGACTAGAGGCTACCTCATTTGTGAAGTTATCACTGGGCATGGGCAGCTAATGAATGTGTCAGTGTACTCCTGTGTTTTGAAATTTCTACTAATGAGCATTGATCTACGGCCCATATGCATACAAACGTGTGTGTGTGTGTGTGTGTGTGTGTGTGTGTGTGTTGCTGAGGATCGAATCCAGGGATTTTCATATTCTAGGTGAGCATCTCCTGCCTTAGTTTCCTTCTTTTTTCTAACTTTTGTAGCTCTTGTCTTTTTATTATTTTTATTTCATGTGTATGAGTGTTTTGCCTGCATTTACGTAAGTGCACCATGTGTGTACAATGCCATGGAGGCCAGAAGAGGATGTCAGATCCCCTGAGCTCGAGTTAGGGATGGTTGTTAGCCGCCATGTGGGTGCTGGGAATCGAACCTGGGTCCTCTGGAAGAACAGTAAAGTGTTCTTAACCACTAAGCCATCTCTCCCGCCTCTGCTCTTGTCCCTTAAGCTCTTCTAGCATCCTCTGTCTTGCCCTTGACCTTTTCTGTCAGGTCCTATCTGCTCACTCATCACTGAGTACCACCCACCACTAGGCGGCTGAGGAGCGAACCAACCGACACGGGTGCCTCTCTAGCTCTCCCAGGCTCTCTCTATGGCACCTGCCCGCGGAAGGGGGCGGGGACAGTGTCACGTGACCAGGCTGCCTAGCGACCGCGCAGGCGCAGTGGCCTCGGCGCCCGTCGCCGGGCCTGGTCCCTTGCCCTTCTCTACCTGGTCGTCAGCTGAGGTGGCGGCTGCACTCTCTGTAGCTTCGGGTTAGGGACATGTCCCGAAAACAGGCGGCGAGGAGCCGGCCGGGCAGCGGCGGCCGGAAAGCCGAGGTCGAGCGCAAGCGGGACGAGCGGGCGGCGCGTCGGGCGCTGGCCAAGGAGCGGCGGAACCGGCCGGAGCCCGGCGGCGGCTGTGAGGAGGAGTTCGTGAGCTTCGCCAACCAGCTGCAGGCCCTGGGGCTGAAGCTACGGGAGGTGCCGGGGGACGGGTGAGGCGGGCTGGGAGCGCGGGCGGCGGCGCCGGGGATGCGCCGGGCCCAGTCGGGCAGGGCCAGGCTGCAGCCGCGGCCTTCGTTTCCTGCGGGGAGGCCCGGGCGGTTCCCGCGAACCAGCCCCGCATGGGGTCACGGGGGTCCTGGTGTACCCCGCGAGCAGCAGGTCCTCTCCGGACGGGAGGCCAGCCAGAGAAGTGCCTTTTAATCCTGAACCGAATAGCAGCTAGACCAATAGGAGGAGACCCGTGTCCCGCCTCGAGACGTGCAGGACATTCTTGGAGTCCGTGCTGCTGTCTCTGGCCGCCTTCAGTACGGAGGCAATTGGGTCTGTGAGCAGAAGGCGGCTTCCCCAGCCTTTAAGCATCGGGGGTTTGTACTGGAATCCAAGTCCAGCCGCTTTAGGGAATGGTGAGAGTTGGAAGGAGCGAATGGAGGAAGGTGAGGAAAAGTAACTTTGAGAGGCGGTATGGGTCCAGGAGCATAGGTGGAAAGGGAAAAGGACAAAGGGGACAGGGAGGAGGACAGTTAGCGTTCTTAGTGCAAGAACAGCTTCAAGGGAGTCTGGTTGCCAGGTGCATTGTTGCATAATAGCCTGGCTCTGTTTTCGCCTCCGTTTGGGTGGACAGGTTGGGCTGGAGGAAGAGTAAGATAAAGCTAAAGACCATAGAAAGCTAGATGTGGTCACGCTTGTAACCCTATCACACAGGAGGCTGAGGCAAGGGGATTGCTATGAGGTTGAGGCCAGCCTGGCTACCGAGTGAAACGGTATCAAAAACAAAATAACACCAGAAAACTAACCAAAGAACTTCATACAGACTCCCCTTAGACACTGTGGGAGGAAGTGGTGTCTTGATTTATTACATTATAGTTTGTTGATCAAGACCTAATAAATTAACCCTAATTTGTCCTTCCTACCTTCAGTGCTCTGGGCAAATTGGATTTTGCTCTGTTCACAAAGTGTTGGACACGCCCTCCTGCTTGATGTTTTTGCTTATGCTGCAATTAGAACTTAATTGTGTTTATCAGCCAGCCACCCACCCACCCACTCGCGCACAGTTCCTGGTACATAGAAGGCATTCAGGACATTTTTGCAGAGTGGATGATAGAAGAATTGAGGGAGGCCACCTGGCTTAGGGGCCATTCACTGCTGTGTACACCACAGTGCCAGCTGAGCCAGGGCTGGTGGCACACACTTTTAGCCCCAGCACTTGGGAGGCAGAGGCAGAGGCAGGCTGATCTCTGAGATCAAGCAGCTTGGTCTACATAATGCATTCCAGGCCAGCTGGGGCTACAGGGAGACCCTGTCTCAAGAAAACAAAACCAAAAACAAACAGAAGACCCTCAAACACAAAGTACCAGTTGAGTGCAGTGGAGTCAGGGTGGGGCTGCCCCTGGCAAATGACTGGATTGTTTGTGTGTGTCATACTGAGCATGGTTTTCGGTATGTCAGAGAAATGTGCCGGGGAAATGGGTTCAGTAGGTTGCAATCTGTCCAGAGTCTGCACAGTTGTAAAATCTTGAGAGGCTTTTGTAAGGTGATAAGGGAAACTTGGAGTACTAACTTTCTTCCATCTCTCCAAAGAGCATACTTCTCCAGTTAATTCATTGCACGTTGCTTGAATAAGGTGCTGGAAACAGGTTGATGACCAAGATACGTGAGGACTTCGCCTAGTAAGGGAGAAGCATGAACAGTGGGTCGCACGTAGTTTGGTCTTCGGATCCCTTTGCATTCTTAAAAATTGATGGGGTCTCTGTACACACACACACACATACACACACACACACACATTGGTATACATATGGGTCCTAGATCAATGCTTATTAGTAGAAATTTCAAAATACGGGAGTACACAGATACACCCATTAGCTGTCCATGCCCAGTGATAGCCTCACATATGAGGTAGCCTCTGGGAAACTACCGTATACTTATAAGAGAATGAGAATGAAGAAGGTAACTATCTTGGTTTTTGAACTCATGGATACCCTCAAAGGGTCTCAAGGCATCCCCACCTCCGTAGCCACGCTTGGAGAACAGATGATATGGGAAAAAATAGTTTGGCTTATTCTTAGTAGCCGATGGTAGTGATGCTGCTGGGAAGGAAGTAACTAGCACTCCTTGAGGTGGGAGGATGGCCTTATTCTCAGCAGTGCTCTTTGACTTCACTGTGCAAGATGCTTCTCAGAAGAGGTCATGCCTGGGGCAGTTGAAGGACCATTAGGAGTTTGCTGGGAGTGCCCCAGAAGCATACTGTTTTTTGAGTGCTCTGCAAGTTGTATAGATGGGGGTGAGGATTGATGAGAGTTAGCGGAGATGAACTTCCTTCTAAAGCTAGTCTTTGGACAGTGTTACATAAGCTATGGCTTCTTGTTTTAGCTTTATGAAGCCAAGCTCCTGCTACCTACAAATTCTTGCTTGCATGACATGAGATGGACTGGTTCTGCCCTCTTCAGTATTGTGGCTCTGTTTTCATTTATCAGGCAATGAATGGTGTTTCCCATATATGTGGTGGTTTTGGAAATATCAGTAGATTCTTTTATGTGTTAATATTTGTTGAGTAGTTTTAGGTTAAAATAGAGTGAAGTTTTGGTATTATAAAAAAATAGTTACCAGCCTCCACTGTACTCCTTGTTCTGGCCCGATTACAGTTTGACTCCCCCAAGAGTGCATCTTGATATAGGCATGTACGTTGTTGTAGCATTCTGTAATTGGTTGTTTTTCAGAATTAAATGCAAGACCTAGATATTCATCCCTAAAGCTCAGTGTTTTTCAAGCAGTGATGGTTTTGCCTCCCAGGGAATAATCAGCAATGTCTGGAGACATTGTTGGTTGTCACAGCTGGTGGGAAGGGGGGTGGTGGTATGCTCCTAGCGTGTGGTGGGCAGAGGCCAAGATGGGTCTTATGGATGCTGCGGTTCACAGGACAGTCCTCACAACAAAGAGTGATCCAGGTATCAGTAGTCTGGACACCGAGCAGCCCTGCTGCCATGCAAGGGTGAGAGTGTAGGTGGGGAGGAACAGCTGGATCTCCCAGAGCTCCTAAGGGCCATGGTGCTGTTCTCACAAGCATCTCCAGTGAGCTTGTTGGCTCCCCAAGGGAACTCAGGTCACTGAAGTGTTTGTTATGTTTCCTGTGTCACTGCCTGTAACCCTATCAGAAAAACAAGTACTTGCAGTGTGTTTTACTTAACTAAGTATACTGTGGAGCAGTAACTACGACTGACATTTTAGGGCCGATCTTTGAGCGAGTTATATAACTAGAGCCAGGTTGCCTGGGTTTGAGTCCTCGGTCCAGTGACCACTGGTTTATGACCTTGAGCATAAGTTACTCTTGAGGGATGGAAGTACCATGATTCCTGATGTAAAGTCCCTAGCAGTACTCAGTACTTTGTGAGAGCAATGTGGGTGGTTGTCAGTGTTTCTTTGTATACCCTCCCTCCATGTAGTAAACATACAATAGCTGCATACTTAATTTTGCACAAAATTACTCTTTCCAACTAGATTTAAGAAGAGCATTGTGGTGGCAGATGCTAACATGTTTAAGGAAAGTGCCAGAGAAAAGATTGAAATTGAAATATTTTCTCTCTCAGCCTGCTTTCCCCCTTACATTTGAGAAAAGACTGCTACTGTTAGGTGGTAGAAACAGAACTGCAGTCTACTATGTGGAACTTCAGATTCCAGTCTCTTCTAGCATCTTGTCCCAGATGGACGTACGGCTCCTTGCCTTCCAATGTATAGAATCTCCCTCTTTCTCATTTCCTTCTGTAGTCCCACCCCCAAGTTTAAATCCTTATACATTAGAAGAAAAGTCTGCTACTTGTAGTGAAACTTCTGAATTGAAACATAAAAACTTTTCTGACATTTCTAAAGCAATGAATTTGTGCTTTGTATAATTAGTGTTCGTTTGGATGATGGTCTTGTTTCAGGCTCTGTGTATCTGGGTCTCTGTGCTTGTGTTTGGTGTGAAATTAGGTCACTGGCTTAAGGGGTTTGTTCTTTTTTAAAATATTTTATTTTACGTGTACCAGTGTTTTGCCTGCATGTATGTAACTGCATCTGTGTTATACAATGCCCACAGAGGCAGAAGAGGGCATTGGATCTCCTGGAACTGGAGTTAAAGATATTTCTTTGCTGCCATGTGGGTGCTGGGAACCCAACCCAGGTCCTCTGTAGGAACAGCAAGTGCTCTTGACAGCTGAGCCATCTCTCTTCAGCTCCAAGTGGTTTGTTCTTGACTGTTAAGGCTACTTGGTCAGAAGGGTCTTGTTTCAGGCTCTGTGTATCTGGGTCTCTGTGTTTGTGATACAGTTTAGAATTGTAGGAGCCTCTGAGGGATTTGAGGATAAAGATAATTCTTACATTTTATTTATTTATTTTTATTTTTTGTGCTGGAGTGTTTTGCCTGCATGTATGTAAGTGCACCTGTGTGTGCAATGCCATGGAGGCTAGAAGAGAGCATCTGATCTCTTGGAACTAGAGTTAGGGATAGTTACTAGCCACCATGTGGGTGTTGGGAACTGAACCCCAGTCCTCTGCAAGAACAGACAGTGCTCTTAACCACTGAGCCATCTCTCCAGCCCAATTCTTATATTTCATTACAAGATTTACTTATTTATTAAATACTTTATTTTATTTTTGTGTGTATGAGTATATTGCCTGCATGTGTGTAAGTGCACCTGTGTTTTGTGCAATGCTGCAGAGGTGAGAAAAAGGTGTCGAATCCTCTGGAACTGGAGTTATGGATAGTTGTTAGCCTCCATGTGGGTGCTGGGGTTCGATCCTGGGTCCTCTGGAAGAGCGGCTGAGCCATCTCCCCAGCCTCTCTCTCTCTCTCTCTCTCTCTCTCTCTCTCTCTCCCCCCCTTTTTGTGTGTGTGTGTGTGTGTGTGTGTGTGTGTGTGTGTGTAGATCATGAATTCAGGTTGTCAGCCTCAGTGACAAGTACCTTTACCCCCTAGGCCATCTTGCCAGCTCCATTACTGGCATTTTATTTTTAGAAAAACAAAATCTGATGCTTCCGTGTGCTGTTGTTCTCTGGTGACAGATGAACAGCAAGGGGATGTGTGTACCACTTTGCTGTGCAGGGCTTCCTTCCTGTGGCTGTCTCCACTGTGCTCTTAGCACTGAGTTCAGTTTGTTTTCAGAGCTTGACAAATTGCTGTCTTTGAGTACTCACTATTGGATGACTGATTCCCTACCTGGCAGCTTTAGTGAAACTTGTTTTAGAAAGGAGGTGGTCAGTAGGACATGGTTTTGGAAGAGCGTTTAGGAGTTGTACCCTTAGGTCTGGAGTGGCTTGTAAAGTCTACAGTGTATTTACGTGCTGATGCCACCAGCTGAGTCCCAGAGTTCTTTAATGATTTTTTTTTTTTATCTGAGCCAACCAGATGGTAAGTGAGGACTAGAAACCTTATATGCTGCCTTTGAAGAAGGTGTTGTGGCTGGAATCTGCCCTGGGGCACTCCCCTGTTCCTGAGGATCTGACACTCCCCTTTGATACCCAAGAGTTGAGGTTTCACCTCTCCTACATGAGAATTTCTACAGATGGCCTGGCCTGAGGTGTCATGTCTTAGATGAATGAAGTCTACTTTTGACCACCCACCATTTCTGTTTTGACAGCAATTGCCTGTTCAGAGCTCTCGGTGATCAATTGGAGGGACATTCACGCAATCATCTCAAGCACCGACAGGAGACAGTAGACTACATGATAAAGCAGCGAGAAGACTTTGAGCCCTTTGTAGAAGATGATGTTCCTTTTGAGAAGCATGGTAGGTTCACTGTGGGATACAGGATCTGTCAGGAATAGCGTAGTAGGTAAATAAGTCCACTGGTACCCTGCCCTCCCTGCCAGGGTTTGCTTTTATTACATTGTGGCATTCATTTTTTCAACAAATACTTATTTGCATGTTCTGTAATATATCATGCTAGGCAACTGGGAATCAGTAAATTTAGATGTGTATCCCTTTAAGTAATAGTGATGGTGTTAGTGGCTAAGGGTGTAACTCAGGGGTAGAGTGCCTGCCTATCATGTGTGAAGCCTTGGACTTGATCCCACCTAGCATGAGCACCAAAAAGAAAAAAAAGACCGTGTTAATTGACCTGAAAATCTGTTAATGACATCCTACCAGTGGGATGTGAAAAACAAGTTATAAAATAGTGCATATATAGTGATTTCATTTTTTTAAATGGTCCGCACACAGAGACAGTAGAAGAGGGTGAAAAGAAACTAGCCTTTTTATGGTGGTTCTTTCTTTTCTTTATTGCTTTTAAATTTTTGTAATAATGAGATAATAAAGCACCCATCTTAAAGGGGTTTTTTTTGTGAAGATTAAGTTAGATAACAAAATAAGTTCTTAATATGTTAGCTGTCTGGGATGATGGGACTATGGATATTTTAAATTATTTTCTATAGTTTAAAAATTAAAAGAATCATATATTAGTTTATAATCAGAAAAAACAAATCAAGAAACCCACGTTAATATCTCACTAAAAACGCAGACAGATCTTTTTTGAAGCATGTCAGTGGTTTAATTTTAATGATGTTAATCAAATATAATTGTAATTTAATTTGGCACAAATGTTTAAAAATACATATGGACTTTAAAATTTTAGTTTTGCGAGACGGGTGTGGCACACACCTTTAATCCCAGCACTTGGGAGGCAGAGGCAGAGGCAGGCAGATCTTTGTGAGTTTGAGAGCAGCCTGGTCTCCATAGTGAGTTCCAGGCCAGCTGGGGCCCCTGTCTCAAAAAGCCATAAAAAAAAAAAAAAAAAAAAATTTATTTATTTTTTTTAGTTTTGAAAAATACTGAGGCTCTACTATCCTAGATGCTGGTACATTTATGTTTTATAAATACTGTTTTCTTTCTTGTTTTTTTAAGGCAGGGTCTCATGTATCATGGGCTGGTCTCTAAACTCACTATATAGCCGACTTCTGATTCTCTCTCCTGTACCTCCTCAGTGCTGAGATTGCAGGTTTATAGGGTACCAGTTTATAGGGTATCAGGGATGGAATTCTGAACCTTGGGCATGCTGAGCAAGCATTCTGCTAACTGGCTGTATCCCCACAAATGTCATTTTTGCCACAGCGCTTACATCTGTCTCTTACCAGGAAGAGGCAAAATGGTCCCTGTGCTTTGATGCTAGTGTGGAAGCACACGGGGAACAGGCAAGAAAGACTTGGGGGCGGGGGGGCGGCAGGCCGGCGAAGGAGGCCTTCCTGTTGGCCAGGTAGGAGTTGCCAGGAGTAATGAGAAGAGCCAGGCCAAGAGCAGGTTGTGAGGACCCAGAGGCAGGAGGGAGAAGCAAGGAGGGGTGGTTGACGTCCGTGCTTGGAGAACAGCTCTGAGCTGTAAGGAAGATAGGGAGCAGCAGGAGGAACAAGCTTGGGGAAGCTCCTTCTTCTTACTGGGAATAAGCTTATAAGCTCTGAGCAGGCAGTTCATCCCTGTCACTGAGTTCTGGTGGTCCTTCTTCCTGGGATCACTTTTTTCCTAGCAGGTAGACAGTTTATCAGAGTTAACATTGTATACGTTAAATGTGTGTATTCGGCACATTTTGAAGTTTAGTGTTGTATAGAATAAATTGTGTTGCTGGGTGTACACTTGTCCTTGCTCTTAGGAGGCTGAGGTAAGAGGATTCTGAGTCTGAAGCCAGCCTGGCCAGAAAAAATCAAATGAAAGAATCTTGTTATTTTTTCAACTGCGATGTCATTTTGAGTGGAGTTTGTGATCTGAGATTCCACTTGAACATCCTCAGGAGAGGTCTTGCAGTGGATTTGGTATGTTTCAGGATTGGGAACTCAAACCTTCAGTAAGAGTATGAGCATCAAAGAAGTGAGAAATGGCTTGTCCGCCAGAGCAGACTAAAGGCAGCCTAGAAGCCTATAGATTCTCCTTGTCCTGAAGGTCAGACTCAGTGCCTTTATCACGAGTGGCTACTTTAGGGTACTGTAAGTTTAAGGGGCAAGTTGTTGTGCTTTTGTTTCCAGTGTAGCCGTATCTGACGTTTGGTAGGCATTCACATATTTGTTGCACAAATGAATGGCTCACTTAGCTGAGGACCTGCTTACCTTTGCATTTGGCTAAGGATTATTCTCGTCCTGTAGACTGTGACTTCGTAGACTCAGAACCTCTCTTTTCCCCAGCTTACAAACACCCAGATCTTGACACCTCATTCCCGTTTCTTCTCCCCTTCTCATTCTTGATGTCTTGGCCCTTCTGCCTCAGTGGTCTTCCTTGTCTGCTACCACCTGTGCTGCTTAGTTTTTATGTCAATTCTACACAGCCTTGTGTCCCCTGGGAAGAGGGGACCTCAGTTGATTTCCTAGGTCAAATGAGCATGTCTATCAGTTGTCTTGATTGCTAAATGACGTAAAAGGGCCCAGCCTGCTGTGGGTAGTGCTGTCCTAGGCAGGTAGTCCTGGGCTGTATAAGAAAGCTAACTAAGCCGGTGAGCCCGAGAGCGAGCCAGCAAGCTGCTCTTCAGGGTTCCTGGCACCTTGAGTTCCCATCCTGACTTCCCTCAGCAGTGGACTATGGCCTGGATGTGAAGAAGAATGAAACCCTTTCCTCCCCTAAGTTGCTTTTTTGTTTGCTTTTGTTTTGGTGGTTTTGAGACGGTCTTGCCATATAGCTCTGACTGGCCTGGAACTCGAAGTATAGACCATGTGTTTGTCTCAGCACCACTTTAGGTGTGGCAGCCATTTCCCCAGGCATCCCCAGTGCAGGGGATGGCTTAATTCCCTCTTGACCTCTTCAGTCTGTTCCACATCACAGTCGGAGTCGAGATCCAAACCTGCTTTCCTACCTAATACCTGTCACTGGCTTCCGCTGACCTCAGGCCACAATCTGCACTTTTCAGCCCTTCCTGATCTGTTATTTCTCTCAGTCTTGCCATTTCCCCAACATTTTCTCCCTCCTTCTCTGTGGTCTAAGTTCCTGCCACACAGGATAGGCAGTCCAGAGTCTCCCCTGCCTTGGGAACGTCACCCTTTGCTCCTCTTAACTCCAGCTTGGCCTTGGAGCATCAGCTTAGTTGTCTCAACCTAGAAGCTTCTCTGATACAAACTCACTGGATCTGTGATACTAACAGCTGTGGTTTTATAGGGAAAGGGAACAAATCCAAATCAGCCCAAGGAAAACATTCATAGTCCGCATAGTCTAGTCTGAGAGGGTTCCAAGCACAGAGCCCCTCTGTCCTCTGGAAGTGTTGTGCTCTGGTACTCCTGTATGAAGGCACACTCCATGCTGTCCACCAGAGAACTCACTCATCTTCAGAGTCCAGAGTCTTTGGTGAGGGTTTTTCCTATTTATTTTGCTTATCATTTATTTGCTTACTATTAAAGAACCATTAGTGCATGATTATTATAGGCTATTAGCAAATGTCGCCTTAGGCTCATTATAAGTAAAAGAGACCTCCTTTCTCCTTTGGAAATTCAGAGGTTTAGAGGTTACTTTGCAGGAACCCGGAATAAAAAGCCAGACCGCCCTTTCCTGAGGCACAGTTACCAGCAGTGCCTATATTCTGATTGTAATCGCCCTCAGGGCAAAGTGACTAAATGGCTGTGAGTCAGGGTTAAAGGCTGCCTGGGTGAAAGAAAGCTCAGCTCATTGTTAACTGTTCTTCATCTCTTCATCTGTCCAGTGGCAAGTGTAATAATCCTTCTGTATTGCTGTGATGCTGGGAAGCGAAGATCTCTGAGAATAAGAGCACTGCTGGGCACATGTGTGAGTGTTCATGGTGCAAATCCTTCCCATTACCACGATGGTGGTGTGCTCAGTGTCTGATATAGCTGGGCAGATTACAAATAGTCAACATTTACTGAAGGAATAAATGTGGACCCTTCTCTGATACTTAGCGTTCTTCTGAGTACAGTCTGCATGTTGTTCGCCTCACTAAATTCTAGACTGTGACAGGGTCAGTGGACTTTGCAGATATATATTCTTGCTTCTTGTTCCTTGGAACTAAATAACTACCAAAGCGTGTTTGCATTTGGGTTTTTCCACTATAAAGACTTCATTTTTCTTTCCTGTTTCCATGCAGTGGCCAGTTTGGCAAAGCCTGGTACTTTTGCTGGCAATGATGCAATTGTAGCCTTTGCAAGAAACCATCAATTGAATGTGGTGATCCATCAGCTTAATGCCCCTTTGTGGCAGGTAGGTCACCTGTTCAAGAATTTTCCAGTAGTAAATTACTTTTTGGGATATCCTCAAGATGATGGGCCTTGACTTGTGGCATTGAGCTCTAAAGAATAGCTTGGACCATGAGCCTGACCAGACTGGCATTTTGTGGTGACTTGGGATTAATCTTCATGCTCTGTACAGTGGCGTCTGGAGTATGAGAAATATTTTAAAGTGCTGTAAATATTATTCAAAAGTCAGCTAACTGATTTGGGGACAGAACTTAATGTCAAAATAGAGAATTCTGTGTAAATATCTTAAGAGAATCCAAAGGTTTGGTGCATACAAATTATAGTTTTGAAGTATGCTCATTCCCCTGTGTATTTTTGTGCTTTTTGGGTTAGGGAAACACAAAACTCATTATAGTGACTACATTGATTCACTGTGATGACTGGAAAGTATGTTCCGAACAGCAGTTTGGTTCATGGTTTAGGACGCTCAGCTTTATTTCTGTGTTCTGCCTGATTGATATACACAGTGGCTTCATGCTGCTCCTCATGAAGATTTTACAGAATGCATCGGTTGTGCTGGAGGATGGTGGTTACTTTGTTAAGCCTTCAGTCCTCTGAAGTGTCCACTCAGCTCCTCAGCTTTTCTCACTTTGCTGTCCTACATTAACCTCATCTCTCAGCCCGCCACACCAAACGTTCTGGAGCATGGACCATCGAAGGTTGGTTGGAGTTTTTGCAGCTCACACTCCCTTGCTCTTCCTCCTGGAGTCCAGAGGGCTTGAGCTCAGCTCCCAGACACTGGGCATGGGCTTTATAGGACCCTCTGTTGTACTACCCCATTTTAACTTTCCAAATAACAAAAAGTTATTTTGTTATTTGGAAAGTTAACTTTTTGTTATTTGGAAAGTTAAAATGTGTTGATTGGAGGAAAACTGGACAATTCAAAGTCCCAAAAGATGAGTGAAAGTCAGCAGAGTCACACTAGCTGGAGATTCTGGTAATTAACATTGTAATGTGCCCCCACCATTCACCCCAGACATTTGGCTACATGATGGGAAGGATACAGATCACAGTGTTTTTTTTCACAACACATAAACACATCTACACAAATCTGTGCACATACCACTACTTGTATTATTATCTTTGTTTGTTTTTTTGAGATAAGGTCTTATTGTATCGCTCTGGCTGGCCTGGAACTACCTGGCCTCAAACCCACAAAGGTCTGCCTGCCTCTGCCTCCTGAGTGCTGGGATCAGAAGTGTGCACTGCCTTGCCCAGCATGTATTATTTTCTTGACGGTAGCAGTATCTTTTTTTTTTTTTCTTTTTTTTCATGTGCTGCCTGCGTATACGCCTTTGTAAATTCCTTGGGTGGCCTCTGCAATAGATGCAATACTTGATTATTACCCTCAGGGCTATGTAGTGCCTTTAGGGTTATGTGGTGCAGTAGTATTTTTTTTTTTTAAAGGGGTCCAGTTTATAGAAATATAATTTACAGGGCCTGGAGAGATGGCTCAGCAGTTAAGAGCACTGACTGCTCTTGAAGAGAACCTGGGTTCGATTCCCAGCACCCAAATGATGACTAACAACCGTCTATAACTCCAGTTCCAGGGGATCCAACACCCTCTTGACCTCCATGGGCATTGCACAACATGGGTGCACTTATACACATGTAGACAGTACACTCATATGCATAAAATAAAAATAATAAATATTTTTTCAAAAAGAAATATAATTTACAAATAGCAGAATTCGCTCTTTTCACTTGTACAGTTTTGTGTTTTTAAATTTAAATTAAATTTTTTGATTTATTTCTATTTTATATATATGAGATATGTATGAGTGTTTTGCCTGCATGGATGTAAGTGTACCTGTGTCATGCAATACCCACAGAGGTCAGAGGAGGGAACCAGAGTTAAGGATGGTTTTTAGCAGCCATGCAGGTGCTGGGAACTGAACCCAGGTCTTCTGCAAGAACAGCTAGTGCTCTTAACCTCTGAGCCACCTCCAGCCCTTCGTTCTGTGTTTTGATATCGTAAAACCACCACTGTCTACATATGAAATGATTCCAATCTACCAAAAAGTTAATACATGCCCTATGTAGGCACCCTCTTCCCCCTCCCACCTCTGGCAACCACTGTTTGTTTGCTATGGCTGTGGTTTTCTAGAGTGCCCTGTAAATAGACAGCTTCAACCTTTTGTGTCTGGCAAGTTTACACAAGAACAAAATGAAGTAGATACTGGCTGGGTTGGTGTGGACTTTTACCTAACAGGGATACAGTGAGCTAAGGTGAAACAGTGTCTGTGTTCCTGGGGTGGGGTTGCCAGGTGTCCCAACATCGCGTAGAGTGATCGTGTTTTCAGTGGGGCACTCTCTAAGAAGGATCTGTGAACCAAGAACACCAATTACCCCTTGGTTCTGGGTTTATGCTGTTAAGCTTGTACTGTTAGCAGGGTGGTATCGTGTGAATTTACAGCATGATGAGCCTGTTCTCAAAGGAGAAAACTGGGCACCAGTGCAGTGATGACAGCCTGCTTTTCCTGCACTGGTAAATTTTAAGTTTCTCAATTACCCTAATTCATTCTTAATTTTAATTGTGGAAATCAGGTTTTAAAATTGATTTTTGTAGTTTTCTTGTTCATGAATTGCTAAATAATGAAAGTATATGTTTTTAAACATTTATATTTTATTTCCATTTTATCTGCTCCCCATCAAGCTTCATATAAAATTTTTAAGAATTGAAACTGCATTGGTTTCTACAGTTGTGGTTAAGAGCTCTTGCATTAGTGATGAGTAGGCTTAGATGCACAACACAGATACTGAAACCTACACTTCTTTCTTAGTTAGAGTTGGAGAGTGTGTTCCTGTGAACAGTTTAGATGTATAACATAGCAAGTTAGCGACCTGCAATCTGCCTGTGAGCACTGCTGTTAACAATTGTGGTGACTAATCTAGTTTTTTTCTATTCGTAATATGCATGTGTTATTATTAAATATGTAAATGCTTTAAGTACTTTATCATTCAATAATTCCAGTGCCCTGTTTTCAGTATTCTTCCTGGGACTAGATGGCGTCTCTGTGTTTCCTGTGTGTCCTGTGCTTTTTGCTGTTTTTGAACCTCGAATATTGTTTAAATTAATGGTGGTACCATATTGCCTGTGACTTATGGTACAATAGGGAGCTGATGTTTTGGAGTTGTCACAAAAGCACAGTTATTGAACAGAATCAATTATTTTAGTTTCTGTGGAAGTGGATTGTGTGTGTGTTGGGATTGGGCGGGGCGGGGCGGGGGTGGTCTTGCCCAGACAAGACCTTAGAGCTTCTGTATTGCATGTCTTTAGGGAACCCCATTCTTGTACCCCAGGGTGTTACAGAGATGCAGTGGTTTTTGATTGTAGCCTCCAGGCTTGTGTGGTACAGTGTATGGTTTTACTGTGTAGAGTTGTGCTTTAGAATTGATGTGAAGGGAAGATTTTGAATTTGCTGCTCATAATGTCTTATGTGTGATGGATGGAAAATTCCCCTTCTGATTTAAGGTTGGGTGGATTTAGTGTACCGAATGACTGTTAGGCCCTCCATTTGCAAGGTTCTATTTTAAGGTCTTATAAGAAGTTCTAGAAATGTTATGTTTGAAAATATGCATTTTTTTTTTTTCCAAAAATGGCTTTCAAATTGTTTGAACATCTAGATCAACAAATCTGGGTCTACTTCAGGCTCTTTCCCATTGTAAGGGGCCTAGGTACTTGAGGGACTGAGGCACTTTATCCAACTTCGTTGTTTAAAATGTGCTTTCATGTAGATTTATTTGCATCTTGTTACATGTTAAGTAAGCACAATGGAGGCCTGGGAGGGAGGTAGTTCAGAAATTAAGGACATGTCACATAATCCCAATTAGTGTCTGTTTAGAGGCTATGATGGGGCTCCTGGCCCAGTCCCTAACTCCCCACAGGTCGACCCCTTCCAGATCCTCTTTCTTTTGTCTGCAGATTCGAGGTACTGACAAGAGCAGCGTGCGGGAGCTCCACATCGCCTATCGGTATGGTGAGCACTACGACAGTGTTCGGAGGATCAATGACAACTCAGAAGCACCGGCACATCTCCTGACCGATGTGAGTGAGCCTGGAGAGCGTTCAGACCTACAGAAAGTAGGCCCGGAGCTGTGTGTCCTGGAGCCAAGCACCACTGATTTGTTGTTGTTAATGAAAAGCTGGCTTCAGGGGGCTGTGGCTCTGATTGTTCTTGGGCCAGTGAGATAGCTCAGCCAGCAAAGGTACTTGCTGCCAAACCTGACAGCTTGGGTTTGATTCCTAGAACCCACCTGGTGGAAGGAGAGAACTGACTCCCACAGTTATCTTCCGACTTCCGTGTGCGTGCTCACGTACTCACAAATAAATAATGTAAAAAAAAAGAAATTAATGTCTTAACATTTCAGCTCAGGTGAGAAGACAGTTGTTTGTTAGCCGTTTGCTTTACCAGGAGCAGATAGCCATGATTATATGTATATACAACCCATGGGTTTTAAACCTTGATCCATGCACATTATCTGAAATTTGGAGACTAGAAGTCAATGAAGAGAGTAAAAAGCACGTAAACATAGGTACCTGGATACAAATTCTGTTTCTTATGATCATTTAATGCACCAAGGAGGTGAGATTATATTATCTATACAGCGTTTGTTTCCTGCCCCCACACCTCACACCCCTTTTTGGTCTCACACCCCTTTTTGGTCTCCTATGTGTGTGAGTGTGGTATATGAATGTAGTTGATTTGCACGTGTATGCAGGTACATGTACCTGCCCATGCACAGAGGCCAGAGGAGGGTGTCTGGTGTCCTTTCTTGCTCTTCACCTCATTCCTTTTGAGGCGGGTTCTTTCTCCCTCATCCTGGAGCTTGTACTTTTTGACTAGACTGGCCTAGCAAGACCCAGCAGTCCTCCTGTACCATCTCCCACAGCACTGCAGTTGCAGGTGTGCCCTAGACCAGGCCTGGCAGGTTCTTTGTGTGCTAGGATCTGAACTCAGGTCGTTGTGGTTGCAGAAGGAGCACTTTTAACCCCCGAGCCTCTCTCCAGCCCATGCTGGCTATTTTTACCCTCTCCTCACACCCAGTTGTATCACCTACATACTGTACATCCAAATACGTATGCACTGTAGTTGTTAAATTGAGTGTGCCTTGGGGTTTAATTATAGTAGTACACAAGAAATATCATGGATCTTTTCAAAGGCTGCATGATATTCTGTCGTATGTATGTTGGTCAGTCCCTTTTCAGCCCTTTTAGATGCTTTCGCATTTTCTATTAGAACCAATGGGTAGTGTTTAAGCCGGGTGTGGTGGCACACGCCTTTAAACCCAGCACTTGGGAGGCAGAAGCAGGCAGATCTCTGTGAGTTCAAGGCTAGTCTGGTCTATGTAGTGAGTTCCAGGCCAGCTGGGGCTATAGGGAGACGCTGTTTCAAAAAAGAACCAATGCGTAGTGTCTTTACCCATACCTCATTTCACATGGGTGAGTGCATCTTTAGGATAAAGTCATAGGAAGCCCTTTGTGGATCAAAGGATTTTGATAGATGTTACCACATTACTTTCTGTGTGTCCCATGGTCCTGATTGTAATATGCAAATTACTTTCTGTTCTCAATTTCCATTTCCCCTTGGAGTATGTGGCTCTTTCCCTTGGCCAACAAGTTGTTGGGTTTTTTCTTTCTTTTTTTGATTAATCAAGTTTTCAGTCTTTGTCAGTTAGGGGGAAAATGTAAGATTTAAGTTTATTTTTATCTATGTGTATGTCTTTGTGTTAGTGTGCACACATACATGTAGGTGATCACAAAGGCCACAAGAGGACCTGGGATCTCCTGGAGCTGGAGTTACAGGTGGTTGTGAGCTGTCCAATGCAGCCGCAGTTTTTATTAGCATTTCTTTCATTATGCATCTTTTTTTTCAGTTTGTGCATCTTTTCCTGTGTTTAACACATTTTTATTTCTTTTTTGTGAACTGTATTCATTTGTTCTTTTTTTTTTTTTTTTTCCCTTACTAAGTCCTAATGATTTTCAGGTATTTTTTTATAATTAGGGAATAGGTTCTGTGATATAAATTGCAATATTTTGTTAGTCTGTTGTATGTATTTTCTGTTCCTGTCGTCTTTGCTGTGAAAGATTTTTAGGTAAATTTATCAATACTGTCTTTCCTTTTCCCTCATCTCCTCCTCTTCCTCCTCCTCCTTTCTTCTTTCTCTGTTTCTCTCTTTTTTTCAGTGCTGAGTACCAGACCCATGTCTTGCAAGTGCTGTGCCTTGGAGCCGCATCCCCAGCCCTGTCAGTATTTTGTTACATGGTTTGGGGATGTGGGGTCATAACTAGAAAAATTGTTCCCACTCTGAGTTAATAAGAATTCTCCCAGTTTTAGTTTATTCTTTTAAAAATTAATTTTTGTATCATGTATATGAGTGTGTTGCTTGCATGTATGTAAGTGTACCATGTTTGTGTGCTGCCCATGGAGGCCATAAGAGAGCATTGGATCCCTTGGAACTGGAGTTTGAGTGGTTGTTAGCTGTTACATGGGTGCTGGGAACTGAACCCAGGTCCTGTGCAAGGAGCAGCTAGTGCTCGTGACAGCCGAGCCGTCTCTAGCCCCTATTCTAGTACTTGCATAGTTACATTTTTATTTTACTTTCAGTTTTTTGAGACAAGGTCTCTCTGTGTAGCCAGGCTGGCCTTGAACTTGCTGGTATCCTATCTTAGCCTCCCTAAAGCAAGGATTGCAGATGTGAGCTATCACTCGTGGCTCCTCTTTGTTTTTAAGTGAATTCTTGGCCAACATTGGGCATTTATATTCATGTAGGGGTGTGAGGTTGTGAATCCAGCTTTATATTTTCCTTGTAGTTATCTAATTCTGCCTAAACCATCTTCTCATTAAACACATTTTCTCTACTGAGTGAAGATGTTACATTTTCTAGACACGCTTAATTCCCTTATATGTTTGCATCTGTTTTTAGATGTTTGGTTCTGTTCTGTTGGTCTCTGTGTTTATGTGTTGATGCACCACTGTTTTAATTAGCAAGAGTCTGTTGTAAAATCTGGTGCATGTAAAAATTTAAATTTTGAAAAATTTATTAAGTTAAAATTTTTTTTTCTGTTTTCTTGCCTTAAAGAATTTTTATTTTTATTTTATGTGTGTAAATGTTACCTGCATGTATATAAGTGTACCATTGTGCATGCAATGCCCACAGAGGTCAGAAGAGGCCATTAAATCTCCTGGAGCCAGAGTTAACAGACATATGGTGCTGGGAACTGAACCCAGTTCCTCTACAGGAGCAGCCAGTGCTGTTAACCACTGAGCCATCACTCCAGCCCCTTCTCCCTTTTTTTAAATGTCTTGTCTTTTTTTGTTTTTGTTTTTGAGGCAGGATCTCCTTGCAGCCCCAGCTGGCCTGGAACTTGCTATGTACATCAGGTTGGACTTGATCTCACAGAGATATGCCTGCCTCTGCCTCCTGAGTGCTCAGATGAGAAGCATGCATCACCACACTTGGCTCTTGTCTTGTTTTTAGTGGAATTTTTTTCTTTTTTCAGAAAAAAAAGTATTTTAAATTATGTGTATCTGTGTGTGGGTATGTGCACTTGAGTGTAGGTGCCTGAGGCGGGCAGAAGAGGGCATCAGATCACCTGGAGCTGGTTACAGCTGGTTGTGAGCCACCTGATGTGGGTGTTGGGAATTGAACTCAAGCTGCAAGTGCTTCCAACCACTGGTCCATCACTCCAGCCCAATCTTCAGACCTTATTTTAACTTTTTATTTTGATATGTATAAAATGTGCATTTGTATATGTATGGGGATTTTTGTTTGTTTGTTTTTTGGTCTTTTTGAGACCAGGTCTCCCTGTAGCCCCAGCTGACCTGGAACTTGCTATATAGACCAGGCTAGCGTTAAACTCACAAAGCTCTGCCTGCCTGTGCTGGGATTAAAGGTATGTGCCACACCATCCCCGGTATGTATGGGTCTTTACTTGTGTGTGGAGGGCAGAGATCAATATCTGGTATCTTCCTTGATTGAGCCCCACTTTCCCTATTGAGGCAGGTTCTCTCACTTGACCCCAGAGCTCACAGATTTGGCCTTTTTTGCTCCAGGGATCCTGACTGCTGTACTGGGATTACAGGTGGGCTACCATGCCTCTCTGACTTACATGGGTGCTGGGTATCTGAACGCCTGCCCTCATGCTTGAGTGGCAAGCACTTTACCTACTGAGCCATATCCCTACCCCTAAATTTTAACCATTTTGAGGCTCTGCTATACTGCTTTCCACAGTGACTGCTGTTTGACACTACTAGTGCCTGAGGGCTCCACTTTCCCCATAATCCCCCCCCATCTTAGAGTGGAAGTGGTTTTGATTTACATTTTATTTTTTTAAAATATTTATGTATATGAATGTTTTACCCACTCATATACCCATGGGTAAATATACTCATTTACCCATGTGTGTATGTGCACCACATATGTATCTGGTGCCTGTAGAGGCCAGAAGAAGGTGTTGGATTCCCTGGAACTGGCGTTACAGAGGGTTATTAGATGCTATGTGGGTGCTGGGAATTGCACTTAGATCCTCTGCAAGAGCAGGTAGTGCTCTTAAACTGCTGAGCCACCTCTCCAGCTCTTATAATTTGTCTTTTATTTATTTATTTTTAAATTTTATTTATTATTTTTATTTTATGTGTATGAGTGCATTGCCTGATGTATGTGAGTGCACCCGTGTCGTGCAGTGCCACGGGAGGTCAGAAGAGGGCTTCGGATTCCCCTGGAACTTGAGTTAACGACGGTTTGTAGCCGCCATGTGGGTTCTGGGAATCGAGCCCAGGTCCTCTGCAAGAGCAGTCAGCGCTCTTAACCGCTGAGCCATCTCTCCAGCCCCTGATTTGTCTTTTAATAACTATAGTGTGGAACATTTTTTAGTGTTCTTTTTGGCTATTTGTATTTATTGCTTTGGTGAAATGTATGTTCAATTCCTTTACCTGTTTTTTAAATTTGGGTTGTCAGTTTTGAGTTTTAAAAGTTTGTTAAAAATTCTGACAAGTAGATTTTTATCAATTATATAGTTTGCCAGAGTTTTTTTGTTTGTAGTTTTGTTTTTCCTTTGCTGCTGACTTAAGTATTGGTTTTGCATGTCTATTTATAGTTTTTCAAGTACAGAATGATCTCATGTATAAGTAGTAATTTCTTTTTTCTTATTATTTATTTATATTTTGGTGTTTTTTGAGACAGGGTCTCCCTGTAGCCCCAGCTGTCCTGGAACTCACTGTGTAGACCAGGCTGGCCTCGAACTCACAGAGATCCACCTGCCTTTCCCTCCCAAGTGCTGAGATTAAAGGCATGCGCCACCACGCCTGGCTTTTTCTTTATTTTATACTCATAATTTTTTAAATCTTAGCTAATTGCATTGGCTGTTACCTCTAAACTGTTCAGTAGTGGCAGTGGTGAAATCCTTATTGTGTTCATTGCTGTGATGGCTATGAAGGCATGGTCCTTTGGGTTCGCACAGCTAGCTGTACTGTGAAACTTGTAGTCAGCACTGCGCAGATAGCATTGTTATTGGCACTTTTATGTAAATCCTACCTTTATTTCACTTACTTCTTGACTAAATTCCTAGGCTGTGTAACTGCTGGTAAAGTAGACGCTCATTGCCAAACTGCTGAAGCATAATTTTATGAGTGTTCTGTGCTAACATTCCAAGGACCCTACTGCCCACTGCTGGACTCTACTTCCTCTTGTACACAGAATGCAGACATGTCTCCCATTCATTCATCTCCCTCCATGGCAGGCAAAGGTGGAGGTGGCTGCGTAGTCACAGGAAAGGTTTTTAGCTTCTCTGACTTCAGGTTTGGGTTATAAAGGGTTCTTGCACTCCATGTGAACTACACTTTGCTACTTAAGAACATGAATTGACAGGTTCTCTGAGTGTGGTGATATGGCCCAAAGGTCACGCAGCGGTGTACCCTAGAGTTTATAATCACGTAGAACACAGTGACCAGATGAGAGTTGTAGATTGGTCTTTACAAGATCAAGATCGCTCCTCAGCAGCTCTGAGGTAGAGGACTCTCTTCTGTGTTCAGCAGACAGCTGTGCAGACAGCTGAGACAGAGGCCCTGCTAAATGCAGCCATCATCCCAAAACGCTGCTGGGGGCTTGGCTGCTTCCTCTTGGCCTTTGTCCTCTTTTGTGGCCTGGATTCTCAGTGTATGGATGACACCTGCTCATCCCTTCAGATTGTCTCTAGGATCTCTGCCTCTGTGTGTGTGTGTGTGTGTGTGTGTGTGTGCGCGCGCCTGTGTGTGCCTTCCTTCCTGTGTTGAATATGAAGGGAGCTTGCAGGAGTTCCGTGGTTACTGTGCTTTATGTCTCCTATAGTTCCAGATTCTTCATCAGGATGAAGCAAATGTGAAAGAAAAGATGAAGACCAAAGGAGTTGACCTTGAAGACAACAACCTGAGAGACAAAGTGGAAGATGCCATCCAGAAAGTTTGCAGTGCGACTGGGTGTTCAGTTAGTATTCCTTTCATATACCTGGGCCTCACAAAAGATGCTGACCTGCTGCTCATCTCTAGCTATAGCATCATTCCAGCATGCAGGACCATGGGTGAGATTAGGTCCACGGGGCTGGTAGTGTGCTAGGTTATGAGAGCTGTTCATTAATTTCCCTCCCATTTGCCAGATTTTAGCTATTACTGCTCAAGATCCTACTGAGTGGGTTTAATTTTTTCTTACAGTTTTAGTAAAAGGGTAGTTTTATAAAGGGAATTCATTTGTAAACATGTTTTAAATGGTTATTTCATGTGTCAGTTCCTGGCTGTTACATCTTCGTGTCTATCAGACTGGTGAGGTAGAGCTCAGTAGACCAGTATGCCCAGAGTCTTGAAGTGCTTCTTTGTTTCTTGGATAGGATTTTAATTTAATAGTCCAGAACCTGGAAGCTGAAAATTACAATATTGAATCTGCAGTAATCGCCATGCTTCAAATGAATCAGGGAAAAAGAAATAGTAAGTCCATGACTAATTTTTATTAAATAAGCCTTCAGAATGATTGTGCCCTGCTTGTCTGGGTGCTGGTGTTTACGGCTCCACCAACTGCACTAGTTGTCCACTTTATGTATCTGCCTCCTTCAAGTACATAAGCAGTTTAGTCTTCATGACATTGACCAGCACTCCTGTATTTGTGCTGCCTGAGCTTGTGGGTATTTGGCATGTGGAGGATGAGGCTGGAGCTGTATTTTGTTTTGTTTTGTTTTTTTAATTTTAAAAATTTATTTTTATTGCTTTTAGTGAATGAGTGTATTGCTTACATGTGTGTATAAATGCACCCGTGTTGTGCAGTGCCCCAGGAGGTCAGAAGAAGGTGTTGGATTCTCCTGGAACTGGAGTTACGGACAGTTGTTAAGCCATCATGTGGGTGCTCGGAATCAAACCCGGGTCTTCTGCAAGAGTAGCAAGTGATTTTAATCACTGAGCCATCTCTCCATCCCCTTAATTGTTTTTTAATTTTAATTAATTTAAATTTTAGTAGCCATGTGTGTCTGTGACCACTATATTGGACAGTATAGGGTTAGGTCTTGTTTCTTTTGTAGGTTTGGGATACAAATGAAAGCTTTCTTCTTCTAAATTCAATTTTAAAGATTCATTTAAGAAAACAAAGTAGAACTGGGTGTGGTGGTATATGCCTTTAATCCCAGCACTGGGAAGGGGGTGGGCAGAGGCAGGTGGATCTCTGAGTTCGAGGGCAGCCTTATCTACATAGTTTCAGGCCAGCTGGGGCTACGGCGAGGCCCTGTCTCAAAAGACCAAAAACAAAAGAAATCAAAGTACTCTGCTAATAGAAATTTGATCATAAGCCTTTCAGCCAGCCAGGTTCTTTAAAAACCCATCCTGCTATTTTATCAATCGCTTTGTCTCCATTTTCCCATTCCATTGACTTGGTACTAGAAGTCTATCTCAAGGAAAATTACTTCCTAAATGACAGTGGTCCAGGGATGTCATTTAACAGCACTTGCCTTGTGTAACTGTTGTTAGATTCTTGGTTGTAATAAAATGCATTTTTTTTGGAAGATGCAGAAGAGAACCTTGAGCCCAGTGGCCGGGCGCTGAAGCAGTGTGGCCCTTTATGGGAGGAGGGTGGCAGCGGCACCAGACTCTTTGGAACTCAGGGTGCAAATGAAGGCAGGACCGAAAACAAGGTGTGGGCTAGCCCTGGTGAAGCAAACATGAAGGTGCGGGCTAGCCCTGGTGAACCAAACAAGGCAAACAGAAACCAGCTCCCGAAGGTACAGAGGAGGAGGGTCGGGGGGCTGTGGGCATTTTGGGGCAGTCATGGGTGTCGAATTCTACATTAGTGTTTATTTTTCTTGATTTATAAAAGTAGTTACTGTGGAGAATCTGAGGGTGGGCTACACAGTAGCAAGCGACTCTTAGTCTAAGTCGTGGTGTGTGTCTCTAGATTTGTGTAGGCTCTTGGTAACTTGTCAGGTATACGCCTGTGCCCCTGCCCCTGCTCCCCACAAGCAGACATCATGTCATTTGTTTACTGGATGGGGAATTCATCTGAAAGACTGGAGTTCTGAGCCCAAAATGCTATGTAATGTGGCAGAAAAAGGTTCTACAACCTGAGGATACCTGAAGTCTTAAATGGTGGAGGAAAGTGTCTCCATGCCCCGTTGAGTGTCATCGCTTTCTGGAATAGGGGAAATATCTTTTGAGGTCATTTTGAATTGGTTTGTGAGGAGGATAGAATTGATTTTGTTCGCTGCTTCAGGAAGGGAATGTAAATTTCAAATTGAGCAGTAATAAAAAATGAATTGTTCTGGTTTCTTGGACTGGTTTCCTCTGTTCTTTCAGAAAAGCAGCCTTGTCAGCCCTGATATGCTTGAGCACAGTGACCCACACAGCCACCTTCTCTTCCAGGTCACAAACAAGCAGCGGAGAGAACAGCAGCGTCTAGAGAAGAAGAAGCGGCAGGAGGAGAGGCACCGCCACAAAGCCCTGGAGAACAGGAGCGGCCACAGGGACAGCAGAGGTGAAGCGGATGTGAGCATACAGGTCACCTTGGTGAAGACCTTCGCTGCTCTGAACATCTGACTCTCAAGCCTCCTGGGAGCTGGGAGAAGTGTTGGAGGATCAGCGCTGCAGACCAGGCATTCCAGCCAGGTGTCCTTGGACAAAATGAAACAGCCAACAGCGCCACACACAGGCCCACACACTGAGTTTCCTTCGAGCTGCCTCTTTTTGTGTCCAGAGATTTTTCAGTGAATCACCCACCTTCCCTAACAGACTTCAGATTCTGAGTCATGGGGTGAGGTGTTAGGTCAGGAGAAACCCTAGAGTGTGACTTCATTTTCCATGAGTATCAGTCAGAGTTCCATGATTCTAGACTCTTCCCTTGAGGCTAGGATGAGTTTGCTGTAATTGTTCATGAAGTAGTTTAGCACAATCTTTAGAAATTCACAATGACAAATTTCCTCGGTTTCTCCTTCAAGTAGATATTAACATCTAGGGTGGTTTATCAGTGATCTCCAACTCAAGAACATGTTTAGATTTGATTTCTGATCCAAGTTACTCAGACAATAATTCAGGAAATGTTTCCCCCTAGTAGTATGACAGGAGAGGTGACCAGCAGCAGTTAGGGTGGACATCAGCAACATCTCCCCTCTTCCTGTCTCTACTGTCATTTCGAGTGCAGGTGTTGGGTTCCCTCTCCAGCCATGCTCTACGTGTGTCACCTGACTGGTGGCGAGGCCTGGGTGTTGCTGGGAGGTCCACGATACGGCTGTGGCAGAGTTAGGTTATTTGTTTCTGAACAGTTAGGGAGATGCCGTGGTGCTGCTTATGCAGCTCTGAAACTGTGTAGGGCTGATTCCACAGTTGTAGAGTCAAGACTCTTAGGTTTTTGCCTACGAAGAGTCTGAAGAATTATTTCCTTTACAGAAGTCTGAAAGAATAAAGTTTTCTGGGCTTGAATTTTAAGTAACTCTTTTCCTTCCTGCTCTGCTAGACTCAAAAAGATGCCTTCGGAGAAATAAATGATAATTTGATCTTAAGAGTTGCTAAATTTTCTTAGCATTGTGGAAATAAGATTGCAAAACAGCTGGGCATGGTGACTCACACCTGTAATCTTGGTACTCAGGCAGAAGCTAGAGGATCACTGCAAGTTTGAGGCCGGCCTGGGCTACATAGTGAATTCACAGGTACCCAGCACTACAATTAGAGACCCTGTCTTACTCCCTACCTAAGAAAAAACATTCCATAGCATGTGCCCTTTATTTTTATTTAAGCCCTATTTGGGATTTCAGTACTAGGAAAAGTGCAGCATCTGCTGGAGGCTGAGTGACAGGCTGGATGGCAGGGGATAGGGATTCCACTGGCTGAGGCCCTGGAGTGATCCAGTTCTGAAGCAAAATTAGAGAGGGGAGATGCTGTTCCTCAGACTGAGCTATGTGGAAGTGTACTTTAGACTGACATGTGGGGTGGCCACTCATGAACATGTCTCTCTTTGTCTTTTGGGAAACTAGTATTTGGACAAGGTCAAAAGATAAATTACTTGTCTCCAGAGGCAAAAGGAAAATTACAAAATCGTCTTGACAATTATAGAGGTGTTACTGCCTATGCAAGCCCTGGGTTCATTGAATCATCTGTCAGTAGGTTGTTTTATTTCTTCAATTTTAATAATGCCTTTTAATTTTTCATTTGTTTGACTTTGGAACTTTGTGTTTAGAACACCAGGAGCCTCTTGGAATCGCTCCCAGGACGCTGTGCTGGCTTCTTCCTGTGTACAGTACATTGCGATATTTTGCAGACTGGCAAACTATACTCTGGGAGTCAGAGTCTCAGTCTGAACAAGGGAGCACTGCTGCCACCACACACTGAGGAGAGGAGTAGGGCCCTAGGACAGTTGTTCTCCAGATTCACCCCAGGCATGTTCGGGGTTGGCCCAGCTCTTGTGAATGAAAGCTCTTTATTCCCTGCTCTGTACTGCTAGACTGCAGAATGCCAGATCCTCACAGAAAGGTGAAGGTTGTTTACCAGAAACTCAGGATTAGAGGTCAGAGCTAGGCTGGGGAAGCTGAGTGGTAGAGTTCTTGCCCAGCATGTGTGAGGCCCTAGCCCATCAGCACCTAAAAGAAAGGCCCCACATCTTGAAGTAGACCAATTGTTGGCACTAATAGAACTGCTTTGTTTACCTGGTTAGTGAGGGAGGCCTTGGACTCTCTTGGGTTTTGGAAGTCTTAGCAGCTGCTAAGAAGTTATTAAAGAATACTAGGAATGTTTTATAGAAATTACCTAATTCTGGTAATAGGTTTCAGCATTTCTGGAATACAGTAACAGTGGGTTTTTTAAAGTAATGAAATAGCTTTAGTAATCTTTTATTACCATTTCACAACTTTGTGTTACAGTTGGTGTGTATTTCTTCTGTGTACTAATTATTAGAAGTGGCATTGTCTTCTAGCTAAGGCTAGAATGTGGGCTTTGATGCCTTAGTCTCACCAAGTGAGTGGAGGATCATCCATAGACTTTGTCACTTTAGTGGGCAGCCAGATTGGCAGCTAGATTGAGGGTCTAGTAAATTTAACCTTGGGGTGATGATGGTTAGCATCTCTCCTCAGTCCAAGTGGTCCTTGGGGCGTTGTGCTGGGAACTGACTCTGTCTGAAGCTCCAGGCTACGCCTCGGCTAGTAGAGGTTTATGCTATGTGAGACTGTCCTGGTAGCTTGTAATGAGTCCAGAAGAGGAAGGAACAGTAGTTTATGACTGCTGGCCTTGTAGACTATGTGGAAAGGTTTTATGGAGTTTAAAGAATGATTTTAGATGAAGTAAGAGAAAATTTTAGTGGCAACAGCTTTGAACTAGAGAGGCAGGTGTAGTAAAACAGAACACAGCTCAAACTTCTAATTGATAAAGTTGCCCCCAGGAGGTGCTATTAAGGTAAAATAATGCCTACTTTTATTTAGTATTTTCAATAATACGAGCATCTGCTTCAGGGAGCAAAGTCTGCTCGAGAAATTGTGGCAGAAGAATCTTAAATGCCTGTCAAAGTTGTCTGTGGTCTCTTTTGTAAATGCTGAAGCTTGCAGCCCTGTTTTGATTGTGAAGCTGTGAATTGTGCTCTCCCCTGAACAGCAGCTGGAGCAGAACTGGGCAGGAACCTTTATGCCCTGCTTCACTGGGGAATGGATCAATGTGACATAGAGTGACAGGACTGGAGAGCTGCTCACATTGCGTGGTGGTGTCAGGTGGACTTCGGCAGTGGACTGCACTCACAGCAGACTGCATTGTCAATAAGTCTTTGCCGTTAGTGTGTAGTTTCTCAAATTCAGAGAAACCCCAGTGTCTGCCTGGGTTTTACCAGGTTTGCATAGAATACCTTCAGTTTACCTCTGTGAAAAGTTCAACTGGAACATCTGCTCAGGGAGAGGAAACTTGGATCCCCAGATGGAATAGACTTAAAGTCACGCTGAGCAGAGGGTCCTTAGGAATGAATGGAAAGAGGAACTTGTCCCCTCTGTGGCTCTCCCTGAGCCCTCGTCGGTTCCCACAGCTCCCCACCTCTTACCTCAAGGGCCAGGTTGCATGAGGGCTACTGTTTTGTCTCTCTTTTCTGGCTGTGTGCTTCCTTTCCCTTGGGGGTCAGCTTGTCTGAAACCCCTTTCCTCCCTCCCTAAGCCATCCAGTGTGGCACTTTCTGCAGGTGCATTTCCCTGACTCTGAGCAGGTTGAGCGTTTCATTTGTCTTCCTGGAGTGGAAGACACAGCTGCCTATTTAGTTCTAACAGTGGACTGCTGGGACCAATCAAGTGTCGCTGCCAAGTGGAGGGAATACTGAGCTGTCACCAGTGGGATCTTAGCGCATGACTCTGCACCTTTAAGTCTGGGCTTAAGGAGAGTTGTGTTCTGGGGTGGCCTGGCCCTTTGTCAGTCCCTGGTAAAGTTCCCTTTCAGAATCTCAATTCTGACAGTTTTTTTTCAGTGGGTTCTTTCTAGAGTTTACCTGTTTACTAGTCCTCACCACAGCTGTTTTGTAGCTCAGTTTAAAATGTTGGATGTCCTTGCAGAGCCAAGAAGGGGCCAGCAGCAATGCAGAGATGTTCTATAAAATCCCATGCTTTTGCACAGTGAGTTCATTTTAAGCAGTGCATACTCCTGATTCAGAGCTGCTTTTGCTCTCTGTGCTGATTGTCAGAGGAGATCCCAAGTACTGGAGGAAACCTGAGGGTCTGCCTCTGATCCTTGCACATGAGCATCCAGCACGTTCTGTTGGTCACCTGTGACAAGTCATTCTAGTTCCATCAGAGCTCCGCCTGTGGTTTGATTCTCAGCAGATCCCTCTTGAAACGTGAGCCCCCCTGCCGGGATGAGGCTCCTCATGGCTTCCCAGTCTGGGTGTTCATTTTCTGTGGGGGCTGCTCTCCTGGCGTCCTTCATTAGTGCTAAGCTCGGGGAAGAGGAGCAGAGGGCTCAGCACCCACTCGCCCCGCTCCCTTCCTGATGATGAAGCACTGGTGTGTGTCCGTCCCCGCGGGAAGGAGGGCCATGTGTCTCCAGGGAAGGGCCTTCTCCTGTCTCTAATTGCACTTTACTTGTTCTAGCTTCAGTATGGAGTTATTTAAGACCTCCATGGGGTCATGATCCATAGACTTAGCAAGTCTGCCTTATCTGTGGAGCTTGGTGGTGAGAACTACAGCCATCGTCTGGTGTCCGTAGTCAATTCCTCCTAGGCTGTTTCTTTTCATAGATTGTGTTCATCTGAACCATTTTATTTTTTATTTTCCAACGTACTGTACTTGGCTATTTGCAGTGTTTTCAAAACCAAACGTTTCTTTTTGTGTTTTTAATTTCTTCACTACTTGGTGCAATAGAAGCTGCAAAGATGTGCCACTTTATCTATGAAATGGATTTTGTATACCAATAAATTATAGTTTAGACAAAGTTTTGAGTTGGTTTGTTCATTTTTGTTTGTTTGGTGCCTGGGATGGCCTCAGACTTCCAGGAACACACTCTGCTGTTGAGCTCTGCCTTCAGTTCAGTTTGCTTTTGTAGTATCTGTCTTCTTTCTTGAGTTAGTGAGAGAGGCTGAGAAAGCCTGCTGGGAAATAGACTTTTCAAAGACCTGTGGGAGGATCAGACTGGGTGGTCACGTGGGACCTGGCTGAGGTAGCATGGGTATGTAAGTATGACTGTCTGTCACCGAGAGCCAATGTTAAGAACTGGCCTGGTACCTCAACATGTCTGTCTGATAATTTTGAGTTGTTGAAATGTAACAGTCATCTGTCATTCTCCATCTCGGGAATTGTCCACTGCCGGATGCCTCCAGTACTTGACTTGCCCTGCCTGTTCCCCTCTGTGCATGTGACTAGAGCACACGAGCCTTGTCCAGTAGGATACACAGAATGCCCTGCTCCAATCTAGTTTTGGTTGCACTGCTTGGAAGAAATGGATGCTTTTGGACTATACTGACACAGTTTAGAACTTTTTGGTTAAAGAAGATGGAGACCAATCCATCATGGATTCCCACTCGACAGAAGGAAACACTACACTGTGTCTGAAACTGGGCTGAATCTTTGGTAGAGAGATTTGGGTATTATGTTTTTATTCAGTTTATTCACCCATCTAAACATCCCAGAATCTACCCCATATTTACTGACCCACTGCTGTGTGTAGCTGCTATTTGGGGCATCAAAACTTCCAGTGCAGGGATGAAAATAGGCAACTGTGACCCAAGAGAATGCATGGCTGGGGCCGGGGTGCAGCTGGTAGAGTGCTCACCTTGAAAGCATGAAGCCCTGGGTTCCATCCTCAGCACCACCTAAATGGTGCGGTTGGGCATGCCTGTAATCCCAGCCCTGGGAAGGTGGAGGCAGGAGAGTCGAGTTCAGGGTCATTCTTGGCCACATAAATTTGAGCTCAGTCTGGGCTATGTGAGACCCTGTCTCAAAAATCCCCCCAACAAAACCCAAACAAAACACCATGACCCAAAGAAAAGCTGAGATGACTGCTGTGAATTCAGGGAGAAATCAAGGACTTTGTGGTCTAGACATGAGAGAAGTAGACACAAACAGGACAAAGGTACTTTATACCAAAAGATCAGCATCAAACCCTCAAGTGGGAAAACAGCACACATTCAGGACAAGCGTATTAAGGACGCATGACCAGTTTGGAGAAAGACCGGAAACTTTTCACCAAACACTTCTCACATTCCTCAGGCCACTGGAAGAGGATTTTCATGCTTACCCTAGTGAATTTTAAAGGTGGGGTATGCTTAGTCCAGCCTACTTGGCTCATGGGTGCATTCTGACCTGGGGACCTGGCGAGTAGCAGCCCTCCAGGAAAATGTCTACACCTCTGCAGCCAGGTTCACCCCCTCTAGGGGTGTCAGCTCAAAGGCACTGAAGGCTAATGGCTTCCAAACAGGTGTCCGTTTGAGGTAGAAGAGGAGCGCTCCTGGGATGGATGGGGAGCCAGTTGAGTGAACCGGTGTAGTGTTTATCCTGTGTACAGTGCTATTTCCAGCTACAGTTGTCCCTGAAATAGACACCTAGCAGCTGCTTCACTGTAAGGCCCTGGCTCTTCATTTAGTCCTGCAAAGCAACTAGAGGCAGGGTGAAAACCCAGCATCCCTTTGTTTTGTTTACTGTGCCCTTTGCTCTGGCCCAGACCCCTGCTTGACTCTGTGCCAGCATGACAGTTTCTAGGAGTGTTTTGTTTACCTAAGCCCGTCTCTTCTCCATGCAAGACTGAAGGTACAGGGAATCATTGTCCTAAACCTGCAGTCACCTAGGATTCCAGGAAGAGAAATCCTGAAGGACAGACCGTCCCCCAGATAACAGTTGTGATGGAGAGGCTGCACCCTGGTACAGATCGTCTTGTAGGAACCAGATTGGCCCCTTTGGTGATGACAAGAATGAACAGATTAATGTCATAGGGCATCTTTGCAGGACCAGAACTGGGGCAGTATGGGCAGGAACATGCCTTAACTGGAGTGCTTAATTGTGCGTACCTCTTAACTCCTGCCTCAATTCCTTTGTGGATATAAATCTCAAGTTCTATCAGTGTCCCAAAGATGAACTTGGAATCACTAGACCCCCATTATTTGTTCCTCTTTCCAACCTCTTCGTTAAATCTTTTTTTAAAAAAATATTATTTTAATTTTATGTGTATAAGTATATTGCCTGTGTATATGTAAGTGCACCTCTGTCTTGCAATGCCTGCAGAGGTTAGAGGAGGGCATCAGATCTCATGGAACTGGAGTTACAAATGGTTGTTAGCCACCATGTTGGTGCTGGGAATTGAACCTGGGTCCTCTGTAAGTGTAGTCAGTGCTCTTAACTGCTGAGCCATCTCTCCAGCCCCTCTAAATCTTTTTGCTTTTCAGCATTCTTTCTTGTTTTATTTTTTGAGGCAGAGTCTCATGTAACTGAGGTGAGGATGACCTTGAACTCTACCCCCTGAGTGCTGAGAATATAGGCTTGTTCCACCACACCCAGTTTATGTGGAGTTGGGGATCCAACTCAGGGATTCCTGCATACTTGGCAAATTACCTATGGATCTACATCCCTTTTAGAATTCTTTCTTTTAGTTTAGAGTATCAAGAGAAAGGGATGAGCCTAGCCTATTGGGGCTACTGGAGCCAGGGCTTTTGCCCTAAAATTCTGGTTACATCATATACCATGGAATCAACTGACAGATATTTAGTATCTGTGCTGTGCTGAATGTGAGAGAGGTGGTCAACCCACAGGAGTTAACTGAGCATAGGTTGTCTATAATGCCCCAGCACTCATTTAAACCTTATCACCCCTCGTAGGAGCCTGATGGGTCTAACCCCATTTCACACATGAAGGAATAAACTGACCCAAGAACACAGATGGGAGCTGAGACTGGATTTAGAACCAGGGCTGCCTATCATATGAAAGAAACAAGTGGGGTAAGCGGCAGTAGGGAAGGGCCCAACGTAAGGTTGGCAGTTGGGAGGAGGTTGAAATCTCCATTTGGGAAAGGTAGAACTTGAGATGCACTTAAAACACATGACCAGGGGGCTTCTGGGTTGGGGAAGTTATTGCATAGAGGAAAGACAAGTATGCAGTGCACATGTCGTGGAAACCACGAGGATGTGGAGAAACAGGTGTAGCTGGAAGAGTAGCTGGATGAAGGGACTGCAGAAACAGACATCTGCTAGAGACAAAGGAGTGTGCCTGCTTGGTTGCTTGGTCGGTCGGTCGGTCGGCCGGTTGTTTAGTTGGTTGGTCATTTGTTTGGTTGGTCAGTCAGTTGTTCGGTTGTTCGGTGGGTCGGTCGGTGGGTCGGTCATTTGGTTGTTTGGTTGGTTGGTCATTTGGTTGTTTGGTTGGTCGGTTGGTTGGTTGGTTGGTTGTTCAGTTGGTTGGTTGTTTGGTTGTTCAGTTGGTTGGTTGGTAGGTTGGTCGGTTGGTCAGTTGGTTGTTTGGTTGGTTGGTTGGTCAGTTGGTTGGTTGTTTGGTTGGTTTGTTGTTTGGTTGGTTGGTTGGTTGTTTGGTTGTTTGGTTTGGTTGGTTGGTTGGTCAGTCGGTTCGGTTGGTTGGTGGTCAGTTGGTTGTTTGGTTGGTTGGTTGTTCAGTTGGTTGGTTGGTTGTTTGGTTAGTTGTTTGTTTGTTTGGTTGGTTGGTTGGTTGTTCAGTTGGTTGGTTGGTTGGTTGGTTGGTTAGTTGGTTGGTTGGTTGTTCAGCTGGTTGTTTGGTTAGTTGGTTGTTTGGTTGGTTGGTTGTTCAGTTGGTTGGTTGGTTGGTCGGCAGGTTGGTCGGTTTGTTGGTTGGTTGGTTGGTTGCCTGGTTGGTTGGTTGGTTGGTTGTTCAGTTGGTTGGTTGGTTGGTTGGTTGGTTATTTGTTTGTTTGGTTGGTTGGTTGGTTGTTCAGTTGGTTGGTTGGTTGGTTGGCAGGTTGGTTGGTTGGTTGGTTGGTTGTTCAGTTGGTTGGTTGGTTGGTTGGCAGGTTGGTCAGTTGGTTGGTTGGTTGGCAGGTTGGTCGGTCGGTTGGTTGGTTGGTTGGTTGCCTGGTTGGTTGGTTGCTTGGTTGGTTGGTTCATAAAAGGAGTCTTTTAGGAATAAGGTCAAAGGACTTTGAGACCATGATCTGGCCTTGAGGTAGGAAAACATTATAAAAGAATAATACAATGTTAAAAACAGCCTAACACATAAGAAGGTCTTGAAGAATAAAGAAACGTTTCTTTAAACCTTGAAATGCTTCATTGGGAGGGATAGCTTAGAGTAGGAGAGAGCGGCCATTGACACGTCTGAGGGGCGCAGAGAAAAGGGTCGTCAGGGAAATTCTATGAACAAGGGATATCTGACTTGTGTAAGTTTTTGGATGCTGGTAGGAAGCTTTATATCACATGATTTCATCTAGGATAGCCTACACGATAAGGGTAATGGAGGAACCAGGTCCATATAGGACTGTAAGTTAGGAGCTGTAGAAACCACAGCACAGAACAGCTGCTTAATTTTCTGCCCCAGGGAGAGAGCTACCTGTGGCCTGATTTCTTCAGGCTGTGAGGAACTAGTGTTTTAAAGGGATAGACCCATGACCTAACAGTACTAAGCCTTGAATGCCAGGGGCTGATGGACAGTGGAGGATGATTGTAAAGTGATATGGTGGAATCAAGGTGTCAGTGGACAAGGTGAAGATGGGGTGGAGAATGAAGGGCCCATGAACTTTTGGTCATAATACTTGTTAGGTTTAACATAGAATTTACTAGTGTAGAATAAGTAATTGGTGTCTGTCTGCCAGTTGACTATACTTAACTTTTCTCTCTCCAGTACCATAGTTTGTCCAATGCTTATGAAGGAAAGGATGAAGTTTAATAAATTAGTGAGCTTTCTAGTCATGACACTGCAAAGAACCCCAAAGAAGCAGCTGAATGTTTGTGAAGTCATAATTAGACTCTTCAATGAACTCACGAATCCCATTGTGGTTTCTAATCACTTATTCAGTAAGTGATTTAATCAAGTACTTTGTGTGTAGCTTTTGTTGGGGGCTAGTAGGAACAAGAAAAACCAATCCAAATCCTGACATCGAAATTGAAGAGGGAAGTTATGAAACATTCATATCTCCTCCTAAGACTTGATAGAGTCTCCCGCCTAATTCATTTTTCCATCCATCCCTTCATCCATCCATTGATTTATCCATCATTGATAGGTCCATCCCTTCATTCATCCACCCATTGATCTATCTGTCCATCAAGGATAGATCATCCATCCACCCACCTAGCCACCCATCCATGCACACACACACACCCACCTACCCATCCATTCATGCCTTCATCCATACATATCTATCCATGTATCCATCTATTCATCCATCCACCATCCTATATGCCTATCTACCCATCCATCCATCCACTCATGCATCCATCTATCAGTCTCCCCACCCACCCACACATCCATCCACCCACCTAATGAGTGCATGTAAAGCACTTAACAACACTTTGGATTTTTTGTTTGTTTGTTTTGGTCTTTTTGAGACAGGGTCTCCTTGTAGCCCGAGCTGGCCTGGAACTCACTATGTAGACCAGGCTGGCCTTGAACTCACAGAGATCCGCCTGCCTCTGCCTCCAAAGTGCTGGGATTAAAGGCGTGCGCCACTACACCTGGCTTTAACAGTGCTTTGTAAATGCCAAATAATAAATGTAATTACTATTATGACATTCATCAATTCATAGAACACAAATGCTTATTTGTATGTTAGGCATATAAAAGTATTTTTACATATACTTAATTAAACCATGCCACAGATTTGTTGTGGAAAATGTCACTGTTCCATCTTACATGTGCGAAGACAGGCTGTGACAGTTCTCAGCAATCCTAGATTTTCCTTTGCACACCTGAGGGGTGCTGTTAACCTATCAAGTCTGACGCAGCAAACTGCTGCTGCTGCTGCTCGTCAACCTGAGCTGAGGCCTGTGGCAGAGCCACGGCTCCTACGTGAGAAAACAAAGATCTGTGCCTGGAGCCTCTGACTTCAAGCTTTGGGTCCTCCTTTGTCCTATCAGCCTTTTTCCCATGTCTTCAGCCGGACATCCAGCATTTGAACTAAGGACACACACACGTGCAAACGGAATCTAGACAGGCTACTTAACTCATTCACTGAACATTTATTCAGACCTGTGAAAACAAAAAAACCCTGTGGTCCATGGGCTGACAGCCTGGTCTGAGGTTGGAGTTAGGTCACCGTGGGTTGCACAGGGTCTTGTTCTTAAGTTGCAGTTTCCTTTTGTTGGATAGTTATAGGACTGTAAGGTCACCAGTTGCATCCTACTATAATCAACCATGTCCAGAAATAACCTCTCTTCTTCCCACAAAATCACCTACTGAAGCCCCTTTCCCTTTACTTTCCCATTTCTTTGGGTCCATCATCATTCTAAGATGGCTGTAAGACCTTCTTTGATGATTTCTTGGCTTGAAAATACAAGCTCAGAAATGTCACTAGCCCAGGATACACTGCCCATCTGAAAAAAAATCCAGTATTCTTCCTAATGGTCTGAAAAAGACGGACACCAGGGGGCGCCTCAGGACCACGGTTCCTGACAAGTGAGGGGCACAGGCGGTGTCTCTCACAAATCATTTTTACTTCAGGACTTGGCCTTCCACAGATTCACGTCAGTTACAACCGAGGTGAGGCGTACACCTGCCACACACACCTGCTGCCAGGCAAAGAACACCTCCTTTTAAAGTTCCCGATGACTCATCCTTTTGATATCATGCTCCTCACGGTCCTGACTCTTGTAACACAAAAAACACAAATGGAATGAACGTTTACCAAGTGTCCTCTGTGAGACTTGCCCTGTGCAACGCATTTACACTGCTTCGTATCCTGGACCAGGCTCTTCCTGAACTCAGGCTATTGCCCCTCTTATTACAGTTGTCGGAGGCATCCTGTTGTAGTCAGGAGTAAAATCTGCTCAATTGGCCTCCAGTGGAGCTGTTGGGAACCCTTTGGTGGGTCCACGATGTCCATCTCTTTCCACCTCTTGCTCAGGACTCTGAGCCAGCTGTGTCGGCTTACAGCTGACCTGCATAGACGTGGTCTTTCCACAGTCCCATCTGTTTGGACTAGTCAACTGGGCCACAGGAGAACATGGTGGCAAAGATTCTGACTTACTGAATCAATGAAGGGCCTAGAGTGAGGATAGCTATTGGAACGAACATGTCTTCTCTGGCCTTAAGACATCTGTCTATCAACAAAGGGAGGTTGGACGAGGGATGTAGCTCAGTTGGTAGAGTGCATGCCTAGCATGCACGAAACCCAAAGTTTGACCCCCAGCACTCCATAAAACCAGTTGTGGTGATGCATGCCTATAATCCCAGGAGGTAGAGGCAGGAAGACCAGAAATTCACCGTCATCCTTGGATACGTAACAAGTTCAAGGCTAGTCCGCGTTTCATGAGACCGTCTCAAAGAAAAGACCAAAAATGAGTTGGACAAGATGGACTTAGAGTTTCTTTGCCATCTAAATCAGTTTTCATCAGTGGGGGCGTTTGGAGGTCTGATGACAGTGGGGACAATATTTTTAGGTTGGTATTTTTCTGTGCTTCTCACATTAAGCCATCTGGCCAAAAATGTTCCTTCCAGAGAGTGCCGTGGTTGTCTTGGATAAGACTGTAGAACATAAAAAAGAGCCTGGAAACTTATGGGTGGGGGAAACCAAAAGGATTTACTGCTGGCCCTGCACACAGGGGCCACCATGTCAGATCTGTCCCTGCTGTACTGCAGCACTTAGCACTGTGCAGGTGCAGGGTAGGTGCTCAAAACATGACTGAATAAATGAATGAATGAATGAATGAAACTGTCAGCTAAATCCTAGAAGAGGATGGAAGGGTGTTAGACTTATAGGGAAATAGTATTCACTTATTCAGAAGGGGGAACCAAGGAACCAAGAGCCTTAAGGAAGGGTTAGTGAGTCTTGTGGGTGCTAAAGGATCCTGTGGCTCCCTTAGCTCCGGCAGAAAGGTATGACCCAGGAGGCCAGGGCCTGTGAACTCTCAGGGGAAGGATGGGTTTACAGGAAAGGAATTTTCCAGTGGAAGAACCTTTGGTTCAAGCTTCTCCAGGCCTCCAGAGTGCAGCAGCCTGGGGTCCCTGGGGAGACAGTCGGGCCTCAGCAGGGTGGGGTGGGCCCAGTGCACAACTTGTTGGGGTAGTGGGCATACTTGCGGCTGTAGGTGCCCAGATTGTGGCGAAAGCAGAGTGCAGCTCTTCTGTCACACTCACAGGTCTGTCTCTGGCAAGTTGTCCTGCCGGCTAGATGGGATAAAACAAACCAAGGACTGGGGTGGAGGCTGAAGACTCTCCCTCTCAGCCACAGGATGGGGCGGCTCCTGGCTTCTCTCTGATCCAGGTTCCCACCTCCATCTTCAGCCCCATTCCAAAGGAAGCCCACACTCAAGGGGATGTTTCATACCTGTGAGGGTCAAGGCTGGGCAGGGGCAGACGTACTGGGGCCCAGGACACTGTGAAGGCCCTGGGTGTACACTTTCCCCTCCAAACCCAGGCAGATGGTTTTAACCCTCCTGCCACAGGAGAACATGGGCTTCCCAACCTCTCACCGATGGTTCTAGACAACCATCTCCCATGTGATGGTAGGATAGTGGTGACCTGTGCCTGTGTCTGCCCCTGAGTGGCCTGTGTCCAGGCTAGAGGCCATTCGACTAAAGCTGAGGCCTGCTGGGCGCTTCTGCCTGTCCCCAGCCTGGGCATCAGATTGTCCTGAAGCACCTTCCCAGATCCAGCTGGCATCAGTGTAACTGGCATCAGTCACCCAAAAAGCTTGCTTCAATCCACTGTGACTGTCTCTGACCACAGCATCTCTGACCACAGCAGCTCTGACTCCTTTACATCCCCAGAAATACATCTCTCTGTTAGAACCGTCTGGTGCCTCCTCTCCCCAGAAAATCCCCAAAAGCTAGCCTACGTTTCCTGTCAGGATTCTATTTCAGCAGGACCGAGTGGAGTGCATTTGAAGTCCTGACAGTTTGGGGTATTTAAGGAGTTGCGAAGGTGAGTGTAAATATCTCCACGTAACAGATGAGGAAGCAAAAGTTTTCCAGGTGTCATGTTCCCTGTCCAGAGTTCCATGGGGAGTAGAGGGCAAAACCGCAGAACCCAGCACCTGTGTCCTATCCACCTGACACCTCCCCTAACACCCTCTCCGCACCATCCCAACAGAAGATTGTCCCATTCTTTCCTGAACCCTTGGTGACAGCTCACTACCTAGCTGAGTGGATGCGAGACACTCTAAGCCAACTCTGCCTCTGGTCTTGGTTGAGCGCCTCACACTGGTGCAGTTCTCTGAGATCTGAGCCGGATCTGCTCCCCTGACCCCCGGGTTCTTCCTGCACCCCATGCCCACTAGGCCCAACTCTCTTTCCAGGCTGCACCTGGCTTTACATAGGGAAGAAAGTTTGGTCCTCTGATTTAGCACTCTTTACACCTTTGTGATTTGAGCTATTTCCCTAGCTGAGACTCAGAGGGAAGCCAATTGGGCCAAGTGAGCCTTGGACTTAACAAAATGGAGAAGGTGGGCCCAGCTCAACAGCATCAGTGCCGCAGACTGCCTGCCCGAGTGGGGTCCACTGTCCTGCCCTCCCATTGGCCCCTCCTAGGGGAGGACTGTGTGAGTCCAACCCCGGGTGTGGCTCAGCTCAGTCTCTTCCACTCCCTCCCCAAAGGCTGGAGCTGGGAGGTGTCTCTGGGTGAGGAGGAGGTTCACCTAGGGCTGCGGTGGGCCAAGGGCTGTGTGGATGGGTAACATGGCTCTGTAGCCTGGATGCCCATTAAGCATAGGAACAGATGGACAGTCCTCTCCACTCTGACACGATGATAGGAAGCCTCATGGGTTTGGCCCAGAAGAGGACAAAGGTCACCATGAGAAGAGACTCCCTGCCCACCCAGACAGAGTCTGGCTCATTCCAGGACTGGTCACCTACCGCAGAAGATGGTGTCCCGACCCACAGAGAAGAGGTACTTTTCCAGCTTGGGTTCACAGCCCAGCTTCTCCAGGCGTCCATAGCAACAGTCGTGGGTATGGCAGCACCTGTGGGGTCATGGTTAACCTGGAGGGGCTGGGAGCCAGGCTGGGCTGAACTGAGACTGAGGCAGGGGTTCTGGGGGTCCAGGACTTGGAGAGACTCAAATTAGGATGTGAGGTGAGTCACTGAGTCACTGCTGTCTAGGTGCCCCCAGTTCCTCCTTCCTCCCATTTTGCTCCCCAAGGCTCCCCCTCCAGAGAGGTCCTCCCGCTGGTCTGCTCACCAGTCGGTCTGGTCCACCGGCCAGTTGGAGCCACCGATACCACAATAACATCCATAATCATTGTACTGAAGTGCTGACTTTCCCGTCATCCGCTCAATCATCACCCCAAACTGGACCAGGTTCCCGCTGGCTTGGGACACTGCAAAAGAGGAGGCAGAGGCCACCAGGCCCCTCAGGGCCAGGAAGTATCCCATCTGGGGCTCCACCATGAAGGCCCTTCAAACCTGATTACAGACACCCCCTGCCCCCGCAAGTGCCCAATTAAGCTCCCCCCAAAGCACCCAGCTATCAATAATAATAAGTAGTAAAACCTCCAATGATATTGTTTGTTCTTAATCTGAGAGAGAGAGGAGAGAAGAGAGAGAGAGAGAGAGAGAGAGAGAGAGAGAG